GGATCGTCCCACTCACCTGGCCCAGCCTCGGAGGCAGGGGGTGCAGTTCAGCCCAGCCACGTGTGTCCTACCACTCCCAAACTGCGTCCCGGACACTCCCCACGTGCATCCCACTGTTCCCAACTGCAGACCCTCTGACAGTTAATATCAGTCTGGAGGAGTACCCCCCCAGACTAAGATTGACTCTCAGGGGCTCCCCAATTGACCAATCAATCAGGATCAACTTTTTACAAGTCAGTCTGTTATGAATAGAATAAGCATTATTGTCTGCAAAAGCATGCATGTTTCAGCTACCCTTGCTGGTTCTTGGGCAGGTCATGATTGTTACAATTTTTAGAACTTATTTTTTATGAGACCATAGCTTACACTGCCTATGTGTATCGCCATGCATGATGATAGTTATAGATGCATAGTATGTAATTTGAAAAAGGAAAATAATTTGGATATACATTTTGATGGCAATACATACACACTTAATCCTACTGAAAGCCTAGATTCCAGTAGTAGAGTGGGCTACAAACCAATGTTTAGATTTTTAGGAGTAGCAGGATTGATTTGGCAGATTGCAAACCTGGTTATGCCATCTGTGAATAGTATAAGCAGATTCAAAAAAAGCATATTAGACAAATTCATTAGCTAATGCAGCTAATATTCACTTCAGATTTGGCCAATTCAGGGGACAGTGATTCTGTTCAGTGATTCAAATTACTGCCCTGAATCTATTTGGCCGAATCTTATTCATAGATTCGGCCACCGCTGAATTGGCCAAATCTCCAAATCAAACAAGCCCTATCCCCCTCTCACTTTCACGCTCTCACAGATCTGTCAGTGGCTGCCCCACTCAGCCCCAACCCTAGCATCCTGGCTTTTTTTTAAAAAAAAAAGAGCAAAAAAAAAAAAAAAGCCCCACACTCACCAGCTGTCATGAGCCCCCAGATGTCCTGATGGCCCCCCGACGGCCCCCCACCATCCCTTACGTACCTGCACAGAGTCTGGATCCAGCTCCCTGCAGTGGTGAGCGAGGACTGCCAAATCTCTCCGAATCTTTTCTGAATTGATTCAGAGAGCTTTAAATCAATTCGGACCTTTTTATTGGTCTCCTGATTCAATTTGGATTTGGCTGCCAAATTGGGCCAAATCTCCTCCAAATGAAATCAGCACCTAAAGCTTCACGCAGCCCTAAAATTCACGGAAGACAGGTTGGTTGATAGCTATTAAATAGAAGATTCCAGGGTATATCCTCTGACATTTCTTAAAACACTGATGATTAATGCCAGGGAGGGTATGGCAGGGAATGGGTTATATTAAACATCTAAAAAGGTGGTGCTTGACCTTTTTTGGCCCTACAAGCCAGGTGAGTGGGGTAGAGTTGGTCCTCAGGCCAGATCAAGGCCCCAGAGCCCAATCCTGGCATGTGGGGCTGGTACTACCCCCTCCTGCCCTTGCATGCCGGGATTTGGCCCTGCGGCCCTGGCACCGGCCCCTACCAGCCCTTCATGCCAGGATTGCATTCTGGGTCCCAGCACTGCCCCTGCATACTGGGATCAGGCTCTCAATCCAGCACGCAGGGCCCAGGCTCCCCATAGGTCTGAAATTTTGGCGGTAAAGGAGCATTGCCACCTCTCTCCTGCTGCCAAATTTTCATGTCCATGGGAAGCACTTCAGGCTGGATGACAAAGGGCCAGAGCGGGTTGGGAACCCCTGCTCTGAAACATCTCCCACTTACCACTGTCAGAGACAGGATACTGAGCTAAACTGGTCTGACTTAGTATGGTACTTTTTATTGGATCAACTGTTGGGAAAGATGTTAGAGAGTCTTTCATGTACAACATGCCCTTCTTCAGATCTACATTTTTGGGTCGGAAAGACCCCTATAAGCATCTCATCTGACCCTCTTCATAAGCCTCCATAGGAACTTTCACGTAGGGATTCCATTAGAGTGAATTATAGCATAAATTATCTTCAGACTTCTAATCTTCACTAAGTTCAAGTCATGAAGAATTCACCCCATCCCCTTGCAGACAGCTTCAATAGTTAATTACCCTCCTAGTTTAAAAACTGCCTTATTTTCATTTTGTAAATAAACATAAACGTTGAACTATTCACTCTTACTAAGTCTGAATCTAGGGGACAAGAGCTTTTGAAGTATGCTATCAGATACTTTCTTCCTGCATAGATACTTTGAGGCTTAGTCAAGTCTCCTCTTAACCTTCTTCAAGGTAGCAGATGGAATTTCATTTATGACTAAAGACACATTTAAAGACACATTCTTGTAGCTTACAATGAGAAAATTGAACTGATGTAGGGTGTAGTACACGGAGAAAGAACTATATTACTACTATTTTTTGTCTTCTGCTGTAACAGCTTCTCCCTTGACTGAACTGTATTCATGTTCAGTACATTCAACTGTTTTCTTATATTGTCAAATTAATACACTTATGATATCTAGTAGGGCTGTGTGAAGCTTCAGTTGCTGATTCAATTTGGAGGAGATTCGGCCCGATTTGGCAGCCGAATCTCCAGATCTGAATCAAATCAGGAGACCTATTAAATGGTCCAAATTGAATACAAAGTCTCCACATTGACTCAGAAAAGAGTCAGAGATATTCGGAGGTTCAGATCGGCCAGCGAGAGGCAGGCACAGCCTGGCAGCTGCAGGCTCTCCTGTAGTTCCTCCAGCTGTGCCTGCATCAGCCCCAGTGGGGGGAGCTGTGGGAGAAGCCCCCATGTCGGCCCTGCCCGGCCCCATCCCCTGCCTGGCCCTAGCCTCCCAGCACTTTTTTTTTTTTTTTTAA